CTTTTATAATATTGTAAACTGCATAATTTTTAAAATTCCATTAGTTACTTATCATTGTTATAGAAACATGATTGTGAGTTGACCTTGTGTTCATCAGTCTTGCTAAATTTCATTTATCAAAGTAAATACTTTGAAAGTTCTTTTGGATGTTTTATAATATTAATTTGAAAATAATGTTTTTCCCTAGTTTGATCAGTAATTCTTTGATTGCAAACAACAGAAGTTCCTCTGAGGAAGTTCAGGTCAAAGGGAAGTTGGTATCGGGCCCTGCAGGATGCTGGGAAAGCCCGGAGGGTGTCCAGCTGGGCTTGGTGGGGCCTCCGGCAGCCCCAGGGCCCTTGAACCTGCAGCCACAGGCTCGCCCCCATGCCCCGCCACCCGGCCTCCCGACGGGGGACCTGCATCCGGGTCTCTGGTCCCCACCTCCATGGTGGCCTCGCTCTGCGTCCACGTGGCCTTCCAGCCCCAGCACCCCTCCCCCCCCCCTCTGGCCTCAGTGTCCAGGATGACCGCTGGGCTCCAGACGGGGGCCCCTGCCTCCCGGGGACCCTGGGCGGCACACACTTCCTAGGGAACCCTACTTGTCTGACAGAAAACTTGGAAAACATGCGTGTCACGTGTACACTTTCACCTCCCAAATATGCCTGCTATTGCTATAATTCTAATATTGTTTCCACATATATGTGTTTTTCCTTCTCGCTACATAGAAATTTACAAATTTGAATTGGTATATACACCATGCTATATGCTTGCTCAACTTAATTTTATGTTTTAGTATTTACCACTTCATTAAATATACTTCAAAAACATGATCTTAATAGCTTAATAGAATATACAATTTTACATTATATGGCCACACCATAATTCAACTAAGAATCCCTATTTTTAGATTTTTGGGTTTTTTCCTGTTTTTTTTTTTTTTTTTAATAAATACAGTAGTTAGCAGTCTTGCACTTAAAATCCTGTCTTATCTCTGATAATTAGGGTTGATCCCTAGACGTGAAATTAGTGGGTCAAAAGATGCGAACATTGTCAAATGTCTTAATACAATGTCAGGTTTTTTTCTAGAAGGACTGTACTTGTTTACTTTTCTTTCCACAACTCTAAGAATACCCGTTTCTCCATCAACGGGATTGAATATTAGCTTTTAAAAGAAATCTTTTCTAATTTAATAGGTGAAAAAAAATTGATCTGTTTTAATGTGCTATGCATTTCTAAGTGAGGTTGAATATATTTTCCAAACTTACTAATCACTTGTTCCCTTGTGAACTGACTGTGAATTTGCCCATTTTTCTCCGGAATGTCCATCTAGTCTTACTGATTTAAAACAGCTCATTGCATATTGAGAATATAAACACTTTGTTGCAGGACCCTTTCTCACTCCCCTGGTAGCTGCAGCCGCATGTCAGCCTGCTGGTCGTGGAAGGAGGCTGTGATGAGCTCGGTCCTTGGAAGCAGAAGCGAGAGTGACACACCACCATCAGGTGAGTGGGCGGTGGTCCAGGGCCGCTGTGAGCACAGCGGTGGGTGGGGGTGAGGGGCCCTGGGGTGCCCAGGAGTCCCATGTCTCCAGCTATATGCGCGTCCACACGTGGACCCGAGAACAGCGGGGAGGACGCGCTCGGGAGCCCCGCTTCGCCACCTCCTGGGTGTTGAAGGCCCCAGGGCCTGAGCCTCTGCCCTCAGTTTCAGGTCATGAGCCAGTGACACTGGTCGTGGCCTGGGCCCCGGCTGACGCTGGCTGAATGGGCCGGTTTCCGTGTGACAGCCCGTCCAGGTGATGGGCTGAGCCCGGCCCCGTGAGCCCCGGGGCGTGCGTCCTCCTGGTGCGGCCGGAAGGGAAGAACGGTGGCTCTCACTTCATCCAGAGGACCACACGCTCCTGTTAATCCTGAAAGTCTCCACAGCCTGAATCAGTGGAAAGGGGAGGGGGAGGGTTTGGAGACCGGGGGCCGTTCAGCGCCGGGCCCTGGTCCTTCCGGCCTGGTGACCTTGGGCTGGTCCCCTGCCCTGCCTGGACTGCAGTGCTGCCGCCCAGGAGAGCGGGACAGATCCAGTGAAGAGCCCCCGGTCACCAGCGGGGTCAGGCCAGGAGTCCCGCGACCCTCAGGTGCACATGTGGCTGAGGCACCGCGCTCCCCTGGGGTTCCAAGAGACAGTTTCTGAGGAACCTGAGTCAAAAATGATGTTCACGTCCCTCCTGAAGCAGTGCCTATCCGGCCCCATCCTTCCGGGGCCTACACGAAGTCCCTGATGCCCAGGGGCACCCTGCAGCCTTGGCCAGGTGCCCATGATGCCAGCAGTGGGGAGGGAGGGAAGCTCAGCTTTGCCTCCCCCTCAAAACACCCAGAGCCCTTCCCACACCACAGGAGCATCCCCGGGAGGCCGCGGCGGCAGCTGTGAACGCCGCCACCCCAGCCCCGGCCCCTGGGCAGGCTCTCCGCGGGAGTGAGCGGCCTGGGCCAGACGAGATGGCCAGTCTGGACTGCCGTCTTTCCTCCCCACCCTCCAGTGTAAGGAAAGCTCTTGGATCCGGGGCCTGTGGGCTCCGCGGGGCTCCTCACGGGGTGGCCCAGAGCAGACGTAGGGCCTGGCGGGGACGGACCCACACTCACTGCGGCCCCAGGAGAACGTGGCCCTGCCGGTGCCGTCAGAGGGTCACGACTGCGTGAGTACCATACAGACAGGTTCCGGGAGGTCTTTCTCAGCACTGGGACCATAGAAGGTTCAGAGTGAGCCTGGAAACCACTGTGGGTCCTGCCCAGGACCACGGGCGTCCCTGGGTTGAGCCTCCACTGAGCAGATGGGCACCCGCCGCTGTCGGGGGTCCACCTTGGCCAAACCCGGGCGGCGAGGAGGCTGGGCCCAAGTCCGCCCGGGTCAGGAGCCGCTAACGCTCGTCCCCAGGCCGGGGGCCGGGAGCTGTGTGCCTGCTGCTCCCAGCCCCACATCAGCAGCCACTCCCTGTGAAACCCACGGCCCTGCACTGGGAATGACAAATGACCAAAAAATCAATTTGTAATCTGATTGGAGGTTTTTTATTTCCTCTGATGAGTTTAAATTTCATTAAAAGCAACCTTATTCCAACATAAAAGGAACCCTTGAAGGGTAAAGCGGGGATTGTCTCAGCGCGCCTAAAGCGGCCAGCCCTTTGTGTGATTTGCTCATCGCATTAATTGTGAGGGCCAGGCCTGGTGGCCCCCCCGCCAGTGTCCGTTGGCAGCTGCGCGGTTATCAGGGCCTGGGATCGGCCGGGCGGGCCCGGAGCACAAGGACTCACATTCAAGACCCGCTCTTGGGCATATTGACACTCGAGTTATCAACAGCTCTTATTATCTGTCGAGCGGGAGCGCGCAGCTCGTGGGGACAGGAGGAGCCACAGACCGCTGCCGCCGCCAACCCCCCACCCCCTAGCACCCTCTTAATTGTGTGTATTCTCTGGAAAAAGTGATCATCGAAGCCTCTTGTCTTGATGAGAAATTGACATTTTCTGAGGACTGTTCGGGTGCCGAGTGAGGAGATAAGGCCCTGAGTTGTTTTAGAGGAGGGCGGGCGTTCCTTCCTTTCAGGGCCCTCTTTATTGCTCCTGTTGACCCGCTTGATGAGTATGGATTTCATGAGGTCTTTTTCAGCATCTGAACTATAAAAGGTTCAGAATGACACCACCCCTTATAGACAAAAGATAACCTTGCCCTTTGAATATATCGATTCTTTATTAACTAGGCTGTTTAATGCAATGAAATGAGGCATTAGATTGAAGCCCATTTCAAGTGCTTTGAATAATCTTTAAAAGCTTGGAAGACCCTGGAAGGCGGCCTGACAATAATTGGCACACATTTGGAGAGAATGCAGCTCTCAATTCGGATTCAGAACACAAACATGAAGTAATTTCCCTCCCCCAGGTCGCTGGACCCCGGCAGGCAGCTCCGGGAGGCAGCCCCTAGCCCACCCCAGAGTGGACATCCCTGGCACCAGCTCAGAGCCAGGGGGGTGATGTCGTCCCCAGCACGCGGCAGAGGGGCCGGCTACAGCCTGTGCCCCATGAGCCTCCTTCTTTGCTGTCTCTTTAAGGCTGAAACAAGAACGCAGTCAAAGGAACCTGATTGTCACTGACAGGGAAAAAAAAAAAAAAAAGGTATTCACAAGTTTCTTTATGTTTTGAATAATTGTTCCCTGTTTTGCTCAGCAGAACAAGTAATTAAGATGACATTTGTGAGTACTAATTTGGATCACACTTACGTGTATGTGTTGGAGAGCTGCAAGCCAAAACATGCAAAGCCAGCCTTTCATTGAGGAGAAAATGAAAAATGCAGAATGAGATGGAGCCGGGGCACCCAAGACGCACCAGAGCCAAACAGGGCTACGAAAACCAGAATCCCAGTGCTGACGCTCGTCTCGTCACTGCCCGCGCCTTTGGCTGCCCCTGCGTGCGGCCCGGCAGCAGGGCGGTGCACGGGGTCTGCACACCTTGGCCTGGGCCTGGCCTTGACGCCGGGCCCCTCGGTCAGGGCTCAGGGTGCCCTGGTGTCTGCTCGCAGCACCTCGAGCTGTACCTCGACCCGGCCTGATGACGGGACAGAGGAGCTCGTATCCTGAGTGGCCAGAGCCCTCGCTCTCCACCACCAGGCCTCCAGTTAAGGGGCAGGGGCTGAGGTCAGAGGGCTTGGGCCAGGGGCAGGGGTGACCGAGCCCCCGCGAGCCTGGAGGCTGTCTCTGGGCCGCCGTGGCCCTGGGTCCCACCCAGTCATGCTCAGATATTCCAGGGGGCACGCGGCCTGCAGACAGCCGGCCCCGGGACCAGCGCCGACTACGCCTCTCTGTGCAGCTCGGAGGAGCGTCTGAGGGCGGACAGCCTGGGAGAAGGCTCCTGCACGGACTGTTCTTATCTTGGCCGAGAGAGCTCTGGAATCTAGGTACGCAAACGACCCCCCCAACCCAATGTCAGCGCTGTGCGTTGAGCCAGCCGTTCTAACAATTAAAACAGATCGAGTTACCCAAAGTGAAATTCACAGACAAGAAATACTTTAATTAAATATCGTGTAAAATGAACATTTTTATACAGTTAAATATCTGAAAAAAAATGTACAGATAAAACAATCTTATTGTAGGGTCTTCAACAGTAAAATCTACCATTTAGTGGCACGCTCGGTTTTGAGACGATGACGCTGTGAGGGCAACTAGACCCAAACCAAGTGTGGGGTGAGCAGACTCACAAATGTCCCTAATGTGTACACATGAGCTCATTTTTAGGTCAAACCCTTACGTATACAAAATAAAACGGAGGCAAGTGAGTTCCAAAGCGACTCCTCAGGCCGGTCACAGGGCCAGAGTGTGACCGATGGCCTCCGGGATGTTCCGATTCTTCCATTTAGTCCCTCAAATGAACACCTTTAAGTCTGGCATGGTTTTGTTTTGGTCTTTCTCAAGAGAATTTTAAGAAGTCCCTCCTTTTTGTTTTAGATTTGATTTCTGCTGCAAAGTGTTGGCTGTGCTGTGTGTCCGCAGAGGGAAAAGAACACGGCCCTCCTGGTCTCACCGCGGGTTTGGCACTAACAGGTACAGTGTCGCAAGGAGGTCCTTCCAGTTCAGAAAGTAGACAGCGCCGTTGGGGTCTGACCACAGGAAAGGTGTTGTTAAAAGGGGGTTCCGGACAAGGGGTGGCTGTGGGTCCCCTGGGGCCTCCGAGTCTGGGCTGGGCTCGGGAGGACGCAGGACACAGCAGACCCGGATGCAGAGAGCAGTGACACGGGCCCGTGGGGCTTGTGCTTGTGTGTGTGTGCACGCGCGTGTGTGCACGCGTGTGTGTGTGCATGTGTCACCATAAATCTCCAAATGAAATCTCGATTAACAATTGTGGTGTAAGCCTGTGATAAGATAGCACAAAGGTTCTTTAAAGAAGTCCACTTTTAAGGCATCGGAGAAGTTAATGTGGCAAACATTTTAATTAAAACATCAGAAGTAAATTTTATTTTAAACTTTAGGCCTCTGAATTTTTCCAGTAAACACGGTTCAGCTATGTGGCAAAGTCATGGGTGGCAGCTAAAATGACTTTTTACATTCTACAAAAAGAAAAATAATAATGAAAGGACGCCGCCCCAAATGGTGTCGCCTCTTTGTGGCCGTTCCACATGCACGGAATCTACTAGGACTTGTCACAGCCGGGTGGCACCGTTTTTGTTTTGACTATACAACGAACTTTTTTTTTTTCTTCAAAAGTATTTGTTCAGATAACTTAAAAATAATATAAAAATAAACAATGAATTTGACTTTTCCTCAAAATTAAAAAAAAAAAAAAAGGACAGAAAGTCTAAACAATAGCAAATTCTGGAAGTACAAATGAAATGCAAGGACGCTGGTTCACTGAACAGAACGGATCAGACAGACAGTTCTTGGCTGAATGCTCTTCCAGCATCTCACACCAGGCCATGATCGAAAACCAACACAGACAAAGAAACGGAAACCGAAAACGGCAGGAAAAGCAATGTACAAAATCTCGAAGATAAATACAATATTTATAGTTGATATGTTACAAAATAAAGTCCCTTAGCAACAGCAAGTGTTCATGGAAAAGTAAGTGTTGAATGGAGACCATTTTATTCCTTATAAGATGCATAAGGAATAAAACTTGGTTTGTTTTTTTCTTCTAAATATTTAAGTGGATCTGAAAAAAATTCAAGACAAGTGTATAAATATTTAGCTACAACTTTGGCAAAATCACAAAAGTCTACAATTTTATAACCACATACAAAACACATCAGGGAAGAAGGATCTAGAAGTCAAAAGGACAACTTCTGGTACAAGAAACATGGACGTCACAGTAGCCTAAGAATGCAATAGTATACAGTGCTAGCAAAAGTTGAAAAAAAGCCGCAGATCACACTTGGTAACAGGAAGCTCTAGCAGTGGGGAATATTTTAACCAACAGACAGTAGCATTTCTTTTTTCTCTGTCAGTGTGCTTGTTGAAGGCAAGAGAATTCAATATCAAAGTTACAATTTCTAACTACAATAAGTTACAAAGTTTCATTTCATTAAGATGAAGTTAAGCAATGATAAACCCGCCCTCCCCCCCACCCCTGCCACCCCAGTTCTCCTAACCATATAGTCTTCCTTTCTTCCAGTTTGATGGCTCAGACCTCCTTGGCCCCCTTTTGTCACCACAAAAAAATATTTCACATTATAGAGATACACAACCATTGTGAATCTAAGGATGAGTACAGAAAAATGTCTGGAGGCGTTTTTCATCAGTGTTTTATGATCATCAAAATGGTGCATTCACAAAGTTTCTCCCAACACATAGCAAGTACTAGACATAGCCAAGACGGAGTCAGAAACTTTATACAAAATAGGCGTCGCTTTGTTTTCCTTATTCTTCAGGACTGAGAAATGTGAAAATATGAGAAAAGTTCAGTCAATAAAATGGAATTGTTCATGAAGGAGTAGGTTGTTTGCATGTTGATTCTTAATAGTTTAAATAAAATCTTTAAACAAAGTCTCTCGGAGCATCGCGGCCGCTGCTGACGTACTGAAGACCCCGTCCCGCCAGCGCCTTGCGTGTCCTGACGTGTCCCCTGAAGTCCGTCCTTGGATGCTGCGTGGCGGCAGGTCACAGCGCCCCTCACATGGGCGGGACTACCAGCCCAGACATAGCTGCAAGAGAGAGGGGGCAGGTCAGGGGCACCCCTCACCGGGCGCGGGGGCCTCCCTGGGCTTCGGTCAATGTGACAGTGGCTTTGCACGGCCCTCCACTAACCAGCCGTGGGCTCGGTTAAGGGCACCTACTTCACAGGGTGGGGGTGCACGTGGGGACAGACCCCCCCCAGGCTCCTCTCCTCAAAGACCTCACGTGGCCAAGGGAAAGCCTTCTGCGTGCGAAGGGGCTGCTGCCCACACACCTCGGTGGCTGGCTTCTGGCAGACAGAGGCCCGGGCCCCCCCAAGGCCACCTCTGTCGACAGAGGCATGCCAACCTGGCCACTCCTGTGATGCCAGCCACGGCCGGATCTCGGGCTGGGGGGCACCCAGGCCCCGCTCTCACTGCCTACGTGGACTGGGCATGCCTCGGGCTCCCCTCTGCTCTCAGCCCCTGCCCTGGACCTGCTGCTGACCGCTCCGTATCGTAATGGTGAGTCGCGGGCTGGCCAAGATCAAAGCCACCACAGCCCACCTGGTTTGCAATCTCGGGGCCAAGGGCCCTGACAAGACAGAAGTCACGGCTCCACATGTGGGGAGCGTGTCCTTTCTCTTCTCGGAACAGAGAGAGAACTTGTGCTGAGATGCCAAAAGTGCAAGGATGCTTCCCAGTGAACTCCTGGTGCAAAGGTAATTTAAAACCTTTTAACTTTAGTGTTGTTTAATTTTTGTCAAGAGTAATTGTTCTCATTAATTTATGTATCACATATTAATACATTTGGTTCATGTAGTGATGGGAGCTTCAATTTCTCAGTTCATTAATTTCAACAATATTAATTTATCTCCGACTCACCGTTACAACTTTATGGTTTGGAAGACCCGTGTGTGTACACACGGCTTTTGCGGTGCCACCTTTCGGCGGGCCTTGGTGCCACGTGGGCGGTGGGCAGGGCCATGCACCCGGCCACCTGCCCCTTCGCCCCTGCGCTCTGGGGACCGCGGCCGGCTCACAGGCCAGTCGGCGGCCCTTCGGGGCTGGGCGACCCTCTCACGCTAACAGGTGTGGTGCAGACAATTATTTCAAATCACGGATACCTTTCCAGTTCCTTTTTTGAGCATTAGTTCATCAAAGTGAAATATGCCACCGACTTCACAAAAGGGCCAGTTTGTCTTCTCCACGGTAGCGTCCTCAGCACCCAGCAGAGAGCCTGGCACATAGTAGGCGCTCAGTAAATACTGGTTGAATAGGTTCAGTTTTTTTTTAAAGGAGTAACTGGATTTGGTTTTCACCGGGAGGAGCATATACCAAAGGAGGTGTCTGAAAGAGGCCAGATGGCGGCCACTCAATCTCGGGGCCTGTGGGCCTCAGGTCACTCACCAGGAGCCGCGTGCAAGCTCACGAGGCCTGGGGGCCCACACATGGCCCCGCCTGCCACTGCCCAGAGGGCCCCGGCACGGGGAGGGCACTGCGCGGCCCGTCTGCGGGCCCCGTGCCAGGCGGGGCCTCCCACGGCCCTCGGGCAGGCCCTGCTCCCTCTGGAGTCTTTGAGAGCAGTCGCCCAGAGAGACCAACTCCTGTCCAGCGCTGGCTCAGGCACAGCCCCGGGTCTCCAATGACAGCACGGCCTCTGGGGCCCCGCGGTCCCTTAGACCAGGCTGAGAATCGAGGCTCGGGATGGAAGCGCGGGCAGGCCCAGGTCAGGCGGGGGCTGCAGGCAGCACCGCAGCCCGCCACCCAGGCCTGAGGCTGTCCCACGGGCAAGGGGGGCCCAGCAGGGCAGGACGTGGCCCCTGCAGCCTCCACCGCGGCCTGTTTGCTTTCCCTGTGGCTTTCCACTCCCTGCGGGCATGGGCTGCTTTTACCACGAGGACACAGAAGTCGTCTCGGAAGGATGGGGAAATGGGTTTTATCAACCAAGAGGAAGCCTCTGCTTGCAGGGGCTGATCAAGCGGGGGTCACTCCTAGGCACACCCAGCGGGGATGGGGACAAAGGAGAGCATGCAAGGGGCAGGGCTGCCCTGCCAGGGGCCCCGGGCGGGCCGGAGCTCCCGCCCCCGGGGAGAGACCCACAGGGCCCCGGGGCCGCCCGGCCGCAGCGTGGGGCCAGCGTGCACCCTCACCTTGCAGTCCGTTCCCGTTGGCGCTGGTGCAGGAAGGAGGAGGGGAGGCTTGGGGCCGGACCACGGGCGCGAAGGCGCTCTTTTGTTTCACTGCAGAGATGACATTGGCAGGTGAGAATGAGAAAATGCCGTGTGTACTGCTACAGTTTGAAGGGAGGGTGACCGAAGAGGCTGCCATGGTGGGGCTGGACGGCACTACTGTAACAAAGCAAACATGTCAGGACGCGCGACGCGGCCACGGCCACACGACAGAGCGCTCCGGGCCTGGCCCGGAGCCTCGGGCCACAGCGCAAGCATGAGATGTCTCTGGCTCGGCCACTCTGGGGACAACAGGCATCATCTAACGCTTGCGTGGACTTTGGGTTCCAATTGGGCAGCCCCGGTTTGGTGCCGATTCGGTTTGGGTTCCGCCGTGTGACCGCGCAGGGCCGCCGCCAGCGGTCGTGCGGACGCCCAGCCTCCTGAGCCACCCGTCCTTGCGTCCAGCAGCTCACACCACAGACATCCACGCAACGCACACACGTGACTGCAGCGCACATGAATCTGTGTGATGACGTGTGACAAAAACAGACACTTACTGCCGTAGGGCGAGTTAGCGGAGGAGCCATTAAGAAATCCAGGCGAGCCCGGGACCCCTAGATTGGCCATGGCGCCAGTTCCGTATCCATTCATGCTAGTGCTGACTGTGCTGTAATTGGACTGCTGGGGAGTACTGCTCGGCGCGTATCCTCGCGGGGACACGCTGCTCGTGTTGCGACTGTAGCCGACTGCTGGACCCCCCCCCGGCCAAAAACAACGTTATTATCAGGGAGAGACACTGGGGGGGCGTTCCCCGCACACCTCCATCGCCTGCCAAGCCCTGCCAAACGACCGTGCGCGCTCCTCCAGCCCCAGCGCCTCTCGCCAGCTCTGACGGCCTTTGCCACGCCACGCCCTGCCCGAGCCCAGCGGCCTCGACAGCCGGCCGGCCGGCGCGCACGCACGCTTCCACCTAGCCGTCGGCTGCTTTCGTCTTTCTCTTTAGAAGCGATTAGCCACAGCGAGGTTCCTGGGCTGCACCCCACCCCGACGCTGGGTGAACTTCCAGCCTTGCGCTGCCCACCTCACTCCACCCCACGCTAGGTGAACTGCCGGCCTCTGCAGGGCTGATGAGGACAGCTTCTGTGTGGCCATAACTCCCCAGGAAAGGCGGCCGGGCTTCTCCCTGGCTACAGTTGCTGTTTCTGTCAGCGTGGGGGCGGGCGGGAGCCTAAGCCTCGCTCCCATCTCGGGATGAGGGTGAATGGGGGCCAAGCAGCTGATCAGGAGGTTTTTTCTGACACAACAGCCTGTGCAGAGTTTAGAGCGGCCGCAAACAGATAGAGTGCACGTGGGGAATGGGCACTTCACTCCACAAACTCCTTCCAAGCTCAGGAGCCAATCCCCACACCATCAATGCATCCAGGCAGGGTCCCCGGCTCCCTAAGTCACGGCCATCCTTATGACTCTTCCCAGCCCTCCCAGGGAAGCAGAGCCTCTTAAAAGATCCATCCCGGGAGATGTCTGGCAAAGCCCCGCAAGCTGCGTGGCAGTAGCTGTGCCTCAGTTTCTGACTTCTCTGAGCAGCCCCTGCCGGGGGCCTGTGTGAGCAAGAGCTGCCGGGCCCGGGGCGCCACCCCCGACCCCGCCGGCCTCCAGGCACTGGCGGGCACCCCGCCCGGGCGTCCAGGGCAGGGGCCCCACGCGGCGTACCTTGGTCGTTGGCTTGTGACGTCTCTGCGACGTTGACCGCTAGCTGGCTGCTGAACGAGTTCACGCCCATCATGCCCGTGTGTGCGGGGGTATTGCCCAGGGTAGGGATCTGGTTGTGGTTGCGAGGGACACTGTACAACGCCTCGGCGATGTCAGCCGCCCGCTTCAGGATGATCTCCTGGGGCAGGAGGGGCCCGTTACGGCCAGGCCAGGCCTCCCCCTCAACCCCTCCCTGGGAGCACAGCCCTAGCCCCTCCACTGGGCCCTGCTGGGCAACCAGTGGGAGCGTCCTACCATCCCTCGGTCCAGACAGGGACAAAAGGGACGTCTTAACAGGAAAGAACCTCCCTCAGGAGAACGGCTGAATACCCCTTCCATCCCATTTCTGCTCTCACAGCCCAAAGGCCCTGAGGTGCACACCGGGCCGGGCAGCATGGAAGGCCCTGGATTCAGGGTCAGAGAAACAAGTCCATGCCCAGAGGAACCGGCCCCAGTCCGCCCCCAGAGTCCAGGGGACAGACTGCAAGGCGGGTTTCCCAGGAACAAGCCCTCCTGCCTCTGGTTCATTTCCTATCTGAGCGCTCAGCATGAGGATCCGAACGGGCAGAGGCCCCCAACCCCAACAGACGCTCAAGAGGACGCATGTGCCCAGGAAGCCCACGCCAGACCCAAGTCAGCTGGCCTTCCAAGGTCAAGGTCACCCTGGGACGGCTGGCAGCGGGTCAAGCTCCATCGCCTACCTGGTTGTTGTGGGGCATCCCGTATAAGGCTTCCACGAGGTCGGCCGCCC